ACGGCTGAAAGGGCGAGCATGTTTGGTGTGAGAGGGATTCGAACCCGCGACCCTCAGATTACGAGTCGAGTGCCTTAGGGGAGCTACTGCCCAGGGGCCCGGGCGAATGAAACCTGGTTATTGCGTAAAACCCGCAAAGCATCTTTAGGCTATATCTTCATTTAATGATAAAAAACATAGGTTTTGGCTTTTCTTTGCATATAGACGCTTGATACATTAAGAACGACTGAAATAATAATTTGAGTAATAATTGATATGTATTTGTTACTTTATAGTGTTACGACAGCGGAGGTCACGTGACTCTAGTAACACGTCATCTTCTCGAACGTTCATGTCCTTTCCTGAAATCTCGAGAGCCTACTAGATATACTAGTCTTGTATATATAAACCGGTAAGAACTGACGGCAAGGAGGTAATGAGTAATTGACAGTTGAGTTGTGAATTATAGCGTTTGTTATAGCGCGACTGTGGAAATTAAGTGTATCCAAAAGTTGTATTCAGAAAGAATAAACCAGTTTTATTTAAGAAAGACTTGTATCGGTAAAGTTTTTTCGGAAAGAATTTTTACGGAAAATTAACTAACGAACGGAGGCATAACAATAGATTTAATAGATATTTGTTGTTACTTTATTGACATTTTTACTCTTATACTGTGAAGTAAAAACGGATGCTGCTATGATTTTGTCTGGTGTATGAGCTCGTTGCTGTCCTAATTTAGGATCTTCTTTTTATTAAATTCTTGAAAATGTTAAAAAAAGAGAGAGAGAGAAAGGATGTTTGCCCCGGGGCCCGTGCTGGCTCTCGACGTTCCTGCACGTGTGTATTCGAATAAAGTTATCGTAATTCCAGTTTCTCTTTGTCATAAAAACACACATTGACTTGTAGGCCTGAATGGAAGCTAGTGAGCTTTAGTTAGCACCAAATTCTTGTTTATTATGTCTATCTTCACCTCAATGGCTTTTTGTGTCGAAATTTTCTCTTTAATATTATAGTTTTCATTTTATAGATGGGAGCATTGCTTCACACTAGCTTTGAGTGTGGTTTCGAACCTTTTTGCTGTCTTAAAGGCTTTCTGCTGTGGGAGCTTCCCAGTGGTGGGTCAATACTACAAGTGATTTTGATACCAGTGGTAGGTCAATACTACAAGTGATTTTGATACCAGTGGTTGGTCAATAATACAAGTGATTTTTGATACCAGTGGCGGGTCAATAATACAAGTGATTTTGATACCAGTGGTTGGTCAAAAATACAAGTGATTTTTGATACCAGTGGCGGGTCAATAATACAAGTGATTTTGATACCAATGATGGGTCAATAATACAAGTGATTTTGATGCCAGTGCTGGGTCAATAATACAAGTGATTTTGATACCAGTGATGGGTCAGTAATACAAGTGATTTTGATACCAGTGGTGGGTCAATAATACAAGTGATTTTGATATCAGTGGTTGGTCAATAATACAAGTGATTTTGATATCAGTGGTTGGTCAATAATACAAGTGATTTTTGATACCAGTGGCCTATCATTTGACCCACCACTGGTATCAAAATCACTTGTATTATTGACCCACCGCTGGTATCATAATCACTTGTATTATTGACCCACCACTGGTATCAAAATCACTTGTATTGCTGACCCACCACAGGTATCAAAAATCACTTGTATTATTGACCTTAAATGGGGTGACTTTTACTTTTCATTTCATCATATTTCCATTGATACTTTGATCAACATATTGGTTTCTAATACAGACAAATATTTAATCAATGTTTATACGTGTATATAGGATTATTAAAATAGTGTGTGGAGGGGCGGACGTGCCTACCCGCAGCACCACCTTTCTATACAAGTTGTTCTAGTATCAATGCATGCAGAAGAACTAAATCAACTCTTTCAAGTCTAGCATAAGACTGTCAGAAGTGTTGAACAGCGTGAAATATTTGTGACTTGGAGGTGTCCAGTGTTAATTTAAGTGTGTGTTCATTAATCCGTATGAACTTTTTATTGATTTCCTATACACTGAGAAAATAAATTAAATATTTTAAGCTTCTCACAGGACGCAGGTCAATTTTATTTTTACTCGAACTTCTTATTTCTTTGTTTTTAATATGTGATTTCACCATGAGTGTTTATAACAAGGGGTCATTTTTAAATCATTCAACTATAGGTAAAAATTGGTAGGAACTAATCAACACACTTAAGACTTACTTGTTATCAGTGTATTAGCAACATCATCGTCCAAAGTCACTTACCATCGAAGTCTGTAATCAACACACTTAAGACTTACTTGTTATCAGTGTATTAGCAACATCATCGTCCAAAGTCACTTACCATCGAAGTCTGGCAGATGGAACATTATACAACCTATAAACGCTTCCTTGTCATCGTCCCCCAATGGCACAGCGGTATTTCTGCGGACTTACAACGCTAGAAACCGGGTTTCGATACCCGTGGTTGGCAGAGCACAGATAGCCCACTGTGTAGCTTTGTGCTTAATTACTAACAAACATACATATTCTTTGTCATCAGTAATAGGTGCATATACCTTTGGAAGTTTTAGAATAGATATACAGGTAGTCATTCCCTTTCATTATTTATAAGTTATTGATATTAAATTAAAATTATTGTATTTCCAACATATATACATTATATAATACTGTCAGAAATGCCGAAACAATTAAATTCATTTCAACTAAAGCGTATTTGCTAATGACTAGTGATATTTAACAAATTCAATAAAATGTTTTTGACTCAAATGGGATACAACTTCAATCGTCCATATTATACTATTAAAATTATGTAAGTCAGTTTGATCGGATACTCAAAATTCACTATTCCTGATGGACTCTATATGCTGTATAAGTAACACAAGTGTGACAAGGAGAGAGAACACGGTCTGACAGAACTCAAAGTTTACCTTTAGAATTTTAGAGATCAAGGCTTAAGTTACAGCTGTAAATAATTAGAAATATTAGAGATTAACGTTTGAAAGAATAGGGTAAGGCTCCAGGTTTAGAGTTAGAAGTAGTAAAGTTTAAAATCCAGGATAAGAAATGAGCACGAAGTATGTATGAAATATAAAGAAATGATCATAAATAAAAATGTGTGTTAATAAAACAAACATTCTGTTAGATCATCAACTAATTTTCTTCTTGGTTACCATTCTACGACACCAGGGAGACGAGCTGTATGCACCCTTGTTCCTTAACTCAGAATGGAAAAAGCTGAAGAATAAGTGAAGACTTTTAAATCACTGTTTGGATACACCATCCAATTAATTAAACTACTTACGTGGTAAAATACAATGAGGCTTTCTCCTACTGTAGAGGTCAGTTTGACAGGAATGTACGTTAGTTTGATAATTACCCGGAAGATATAAGTATATAAAATTATTCCTGCACGTTAACTCACCAAGTATCCAGGTATATCGTTAGATAATTATGAAAACGGTGGTTTTGTTGTGAATATGATATCTTTGGAATAACTTTTAAAGAACCTTTCCTCGTACAATTAAATACAAACTTTTTTCTTCTTTCGAAATCGCCATTTTGTTTTGAAAGGTTTATTTTCAGTATTGAAGACAATTTATAAGTTCCCGGTGCTACAGCGGTAAGCCTTTGGATTTACAACGCTAAGATTAGGAGTTCTATTCCCCTCGGTGAACACAGCAGATAGCCCGATGTGGCTTTGCTATAACAACACATACCAATAATATATATATATTTCTATATGGGTAATCGTATTTTATCTTTTTAACAACCATAATATTTGTTAGTCAAGGACTCTGTTGTTGGAAGCTTTTTGATAACAAATATTAGAACCTAAGTAAACATGTTGAAACTAATTCGATGACGAGGAACCCACTTTGAGACTAATAATGGCTGGAGACGGCTTAAATGGGTAATGTTAAACTTATATTAAAGTTTTTCTTCATTACCCATTTAAGCCGTCTCCAGCCATTATTATGTTGAAACTAATTAATCTCTAACGATTCTATTTGTTAAAGCTCATCACACCTTATGCTTACTTGAGTATTGTAATAAGAAGCCACCAGGATAAAACCATCAATATTTCATAACGAACTCGGATTGATCGGCATGTATGTATATTTTGTATACAAGTTCATAACTGGTTTCCATGAACAGTTCTTCAAAAACATTGTATATGTAATACTATTCACCTTGTATGTAACACATCTTAATATTACGCCTAATATAAAATAAATACTGCCTTTCACAAACTGTATTTGTGAAAGATACTCTATACAATTATTATATTTTATGATTATAAGTTGGAATGTTTAATAACTTCTTACCAATTTGGGCATTTCCTCGTTCAGGATTTATTTCCATTATACGTTCAATATTTTCTTCTTTATGTGTGGAAGCATCACTAGACTTAATGGACAAAACTATCATCATGTGGTTAGCAGTATAGGAAAATTGAAGAAAGTTCGTATTAATAATGCTAGTCTTTTTAAAAAATATATTAAGATAAGAAACTTAAATGAACGTTATTTAATTCTGTGGCGAGATTTCACATATAACATATGCATACTTTGTTCTTCAGAAATTCTCACTTTATACTAAGTAATCAGCTAATCATTCATAAGACAATGAAAATATCATATTTAAGATTTCAAGCAAAATACAAAATCCAATTTATCACGTTATAAAAACCATCACCGAGTAAATATAATACAAAAAATTATACATACTTAACGTGGCTAATACTGAGCACTATATTATTTGTTACAAACAACTTTACCCGTCTTCTGTAGAACTCCATCTTACAATTTACAAAATCTTTTCACTACCGAGAAATGGTCAACATTAAATCATATGTAGATATACTGGGCTATTTTTGGAGTAGCGTCTAATTTAACTGACTATATAAATCCACTGCAAAACAAGCAACTTTGTCACACTGAACATGATAAACTGATAAAATCTAATGATTTATCAGGGCGACATTATCAAGATACGTTTTAGGAGTGGCTCGCTCTTCTGATAAGACATTATCGCGTAGATAAATGTAAGCCAAAATATACAGAAAATCCTATCGTTAAAAACATTATCTTTAGTCGTATTTTCACGTGTACTACAACCCCAATCTCCTCCAGCGATTCAGCAATAAGTCTGAAGGCTTATACTGAACGCTTCGATACATGCGGTGTGCAGAGCCCAGGTAGTCCATTGTATAGCTTTAGACTTAACAACAATCGTGTATACTGATCTTAGTAAAGTATATTGCGTTTCTAAAAGGATGTCGGTGTTCATAAGGAAGAGTAACAATTGTGTATATGGATATAACAATACTTCCATTGAATCTGCACAGAAGCGTATTCATACAAACAAATCCTCCTGCCTTTGTATATTTCTCCATTTTTCCAGTTGTACTTTTAGGGTTTCTGGGAGATTCCATCGACACTATTACTCAGTTTTTTTATAAAAATTGTGTCATAAATTATGAATGTTTTCTTACGGCAGAAACATCATGCAAACAAAAGGTAATCACGAGTACAACAAAAATTTAATGAGTACAAAGGTTTGTTTGTTTGTAATTAAGCACAAAGCTACACAATGGGCTAATTGTGCTCTGCCCACCACGGGTATCGAAATCTGGTTTCTAGCGTTGTAAGTCCGCAGACATACCGCTGTGCCACTAGGAGGCTTTATTGTTTGTTTGTAATTAAGCACAAATCTACACAATGGACTATCTGTGCTCTGTCCACAACGGGTATCGAAACTCGGATTCTAGCGTTGTAAGTCCGCAGACATGCAGCTGTGGGGGGCCTGTTGTTTTATTTAAGCCTTTCCATTCACTAAACTTAAAAACTCAAAAACAGCCTTTATCATTTAAACATTTATCAATATTCTTTATTAATTAATAAATAAAATAATTACCACTTTTGTTCACATATAAACTATGATAAAATTAGGATAATAATATTTTCCCCTTATTGTTGAAATTATCACTGTGTGCAAATTTAGATTTTAAGTTCATCCTAATCAAATTCTAAAAAATATTTCTTTTATTAAGTTCATAAAATAACTAGCAGTATTTTAGATTGAAATACTGATTTTTTCAAGTGTAAATTAGACGGTTGGACTAAAACCTTTATACTTGGAAGGTTCCAAGCAGTTGTGATATAGTGATTTCACCTGTCACTGGGTGCCAGACTTACTACT